TTTGTTCACTTCTCTACAAGAAGATGTTATCAGATTGGCAATATCCTATTGTAGAGCAGTGGTCAGATGCGGCCCCTGACATACTCTAATTTTTTTTGAAGTTAGACAGTCAGTGCAGGCAGATCACTTGTAGGGACTTATAGAAGCACCCGCAAGATGTTGGGCCAGAATTTATGAACTAATTTATATATATATAATACAAAAATATATAATAAAGGTGACCAGCAAGACTGCTTAAGTAAAGGAAAAAAAAATTTGCAGTATGCCACATCATGTCTAAAATATTCATTATTCAAAAAAATTTGTTGAAAAGATATCATTTTTTTTCATTATAAGTAGAGATGTAACCTGATCATAAATGTTATATAAAATTTATGACTGGATCACATCTCCAATCAATTTTAAAGTACCTGTTCTTGAATAACTACATGTGTGAAATCCAGTTTTTATTCTTAAAATGAAATTGTTAAATTAGAGTAATATATTTTAAAAACTGGCTAATTCAAAAGTAGAGATGTGACCTAATAATAAATTTTATATCTCTAATTATGATTAATTAAATCTATAGATATTCAATGGTTTAAAATGATTTGTGAATTATTTATATTATCTGTTCAATTTACTTTATGTTTTGTATTACTATACACAAGATATTCGATTTTGGCAAGGAACAAGAAAAGTAATGTCTATTTACAAAATTTTAATTTTTTTTAAACCTAAAGATGTGACCCACCTGGTTATAAATTTTATATATAAAACCAATTAATACCTAGATTGTACGATTCTGATCAGTAGGTCACACTTAAAGATTATAGCATATAAAAAGAAAAATTTATTTCTTAAAATATTTTAATTTTTCTTAAATCATCATAAAAAATATTAAAGATTAAGATGAATTTAAGAATAAATTTATTTCTTAAAATATAAAACTAGTACAAAAAAATCTGAGTTCGATTTATTTCTAATTTATTGAAATTAAAAGTTACTATATACATTTATTGAATACTATTCACCTTTTTTTTTTTATTTTCTTTTCCTTCATGATAGCTATAGTCTAATTCGGTTGAACTCTCTTCAGAACTTTTTTTAGTGCTTTCTTTAGAGAATTCAACTGACAACTGTGTTGAATCACATAAATCATCCTCATCATTTGCTTCTCGACTTTCTGACTTTATGTCGACTGATTGTTGCTGCTTACTTGAAGATGAGGCAGATGTTATTTGATTATTTGTTAACTGTTACTCACCTTGGTAGGTTGTGATAAAAGAGATTATTATAATATTCTCTTTCTTGCAGAGAGTAGTTGTTGATATGTTTATTCGATTGGTTCATTTAGTAAGAATTACATATTCTATACATATAATATCTATTTCTATTTTTAATTGTTCTTTGGAGGTAAAATATGTCAACAGGTAATTGAACAGTAAGTCTACTTATCTGGGCAACTCTAGGTCTCCTAGAAACACATTTAGCTTTCTTAGAAGGCATTTTTTTTTAAAAAAAAATAACTACTCTGATTTAATTTATATTTACTTTAAATGTTATCATCATAGCAGTTTAAATAATATCTCCTTTATTGTAGCCAAAGATCCTGTCACTGATCGAGAATCTGGCATTTAGACACAAGGTAAATATCCATAGTATTAGTAATATATTAATAAAATCAACAACTTTATTTGGTAAAATGTATGAATAGCTGTACAGTATATATAAAAAATATCAAAAAAGGTTTTTATATGCATTTAGCATCAGATTTATACAAATTTGAATTAAAATATTGTAATTTTTTATATTACAATAATGGGTAGTCAGATGATTAACTAACGATCAAGGATCTTTCGCATTACACAATTGGTGTTAACTTTTTGAAAAAATAAATATGATAAAATTGTCTATTATTAGTAAAATTATCTGTTATTAAGTAATTCCAGCTGAATTTTTGATCATTACTCTTAGCCAGTCAAATTCAAGAATTATGTGACAAATTCTGACTTTGATTTTAAATTATGACAATATAAATTTTATAAAGTAAAATTTATGAAAATCATAAAATTTCTATAATTGAATTAAACTTTAAACTAGTGCTTTATTTTAAAATTTGACTTAAATACATTTGGAATTATAAAGATAATTACTTAGTTAATTTTTGATTTTTTTTTAAAGCATCACGCAAGCCAAATAAAATTATACACAATTTCTATCAGTAAAGATGATTCAAAATTTATTAACTGACAATATGTAGCATATGATATTTTACTATAATCAAGTTGGAAATTACATGTAATTTGTTAAAGCAAATATAAAATAATCGATTCATATTAATAATTCTTTAATAAGATCTGCAACTTTATTTGGCTTACTCTATATAATCTGTAATATGAAAATTACAAGAACAGGTTTTTTGGTATTGTTAATTTTGGTGACTTGATTTATATATACATTAATTTTATTATGCATATAATCCAGGTTTAAATATATAGATTAAAGTAAATTATATAAAAATCATTTAATTTCTATAATGAATTGAACTTTAAATTAGAGTGGCTTTTTATGTTAGTATAAATTAGTGCAAATTTGGCTTAGATATATTTGGAATTACAATATTAACTTAAAAATTAGTTATATATAAAAAATTCATTTGATATTAATATTGTATAATTCAAAAAAAATCAATTGTTATGGCTTATACAAATTTTTGATCTTTTTTTGGAGCATTATATGATTTCTATTAGATTATATAATTGATTAGATTTGTCAAAACTTTGCATATCTTTGAAGTAAAATAACATGTGACAAAGAAGTTTAGTTGCTGGTCTTGGCAGTAGATGAATGTGATTAGACACTGAAATACACAGTTTTTAGAATTATTATATATAAAAAATAAAGATTATCTTACATGAGATTTCATTAAAACTTTTGACCAACAAATCTATTGACTGACCCCTTACATTGTCAAAATAGATTATTGCACATGTGCGAGTTATTTTGAAGTACAAAATTTTATGTGATTTGTCGAATAGCAATTAGCAATTTATTGAACACACGTATGAAGAAACTGTTTTATAAGTCAGTCTGTGCATTTGATCTTTTTTTTAAAAAAAAAATTCAAGAATCTCTACTTACCTAAATGGGTCATATTCGTAAAAATGAAGTTCCAGATGATCATTTATCAAAACATGAATATGAATATTATAAAAAAAAATTTTCTAATTCTTTAAAGCAGGTTGTCCCATTTTCTAATCAATAGAAGATTCATAAAGAACTTAGAAAGATTAAAGAAGAAAATAAATTTTTAACTTGGTTTTTTAAGGCTGCACAAATTTATGCCAACAGTATAAATTAATTCTTATTCTTTTTAATAAATTTTCTTATACACATTATAAATATATTTATTTTAACATTACTAGATCAAGAATCAAAAGTTTATAATTCCAGCTCTGAAAGCAGTTCAAGCAGTTCATGATCCAGAAGATCTTCTATAAATTCTGAAAAATTTGACAATGATCTAGATCTGACAGCAAGCAGTTTAACATCCCAAAACCAAATTACTATTGATGTTGATAATTATTTATCTAATGAGCAACCTTCAGATGAATGACAGTTAATCACTAACCAAATTGATAATTATTCATCTAATGAGCAACCATCAGATAAACAACAGTTAATCACTAAAGTTTCAAAACCAATACAACAATCTGTGGCTACTAATTCTACTAATTCTTTACAATAAAAAACATGCTCCAATAAAGGACAATGCCAAACACAAACAATTACAAATGTCCTTCTATGCAATAATGATCAAAAATATAAAAACTTGAAAAAAATTTTAACCGCAATCATCTCATTATCAATTTTAGCTCTTTTTTGGTACTATCAAAAGGTACATATTACATATAAAATATGTTTACACATTTATTTTTTTGCACTAATAAATTTTATTTTAGATAAATAGCACTATTATTAGTAACCTAATTAAAAAAATTAATGTCAAGGTTTTCGAAAAAGTAAGTTTTAAAGTTTTCACTCATAAAAAAAAAAAAACAATAAATAGCATAAACTGTTTATATTATTTCTAGTATAACCTTTGAAAAAATGCGAAATTTTTTGAAACTGAAAATAATGTGTTAAAATATGAATTAAGCAATTTAAAAACAAGATACACTGATTTAAAAAAGGGTATTACCAATTTAAAAGAAAAGCTCATTGCTTCTAATGAAAGAAAAATTATCCTTGAATCACAAGAAGCCAAATTCAAATACACAATTAAAAACCTCAAAGACACTATCAAAGACTTTGAAGCTACTATTAATGTTCTCAGAAATAATGAAATAAATCTCAAAGCACAATATAAAAAACTTTCAAAAGAATTAACTTTGTTAAAAAACAAAAATGAAGAATCTGAAAATAGAAAAAAACAATTAGAAAATAAAATCAACAAGAAGTTGAAGATCATGATCAGTTAATAAATACAATAAATGAATTACGAAAAAAGGAAAATGAATTAAAAAATAAATATGAAAAGGAAAAGCAAGGAATTCAAAATAAATTAGATAAATTAAAGGTAGAAAGAATCAACAAACAGTTGAAAATTCAAAAAGAGAATGTAATTAACTTAAAAGATTAGAAATATAATATAGCTGATTTATAATTTTTCATAATTTTTTTTTGGTTGTTTTTTTGATTAATATAAAAAATGTTCAAATAAAGTTTTACTGTCTTTTATCTTATAAACTTTATTAATAATCTTTTTTTAACAGAAAACATCATAATTGAGCTTGTAAAACAAATTTAACAAATCAGTTGTTATATTTCCATTTTAAAAAAATACCATTTTTGCATCTAAAAGCTTAATACAGTATTGCAAACCTTAATGGTGATGGCTAACTGATATCACATAAATGGAACCAGGAATAATTTCAATAATTTTTCTTGAAAAGAAAAGCAATAATGCAGAAAGTCGTGAGTAGTATGCATTATTTTTTTGAGAGCTCTATATTTTTTATTATTTATTTTGTTAAAGTGATTTTAATAAAAAAATAAAAAGGTTCGAGCAGTTTAGACATAATGGCTAACAAATGTACTAGCTTCGAATTTGGAATTCATGCATAGTAAATATGAGCATAAGGCATTATTTTGAAAAACACATTATTTTATGCTTATAGATAAGTTTTTATCAATATTAATTATCTGAATTCGAAATAAATTATTCTGAGCACATAATCGAAATAATTTCAAAATTAGATGAGAAAGAAATTTTAAATGAACTAGTAAATTTTTTTATATAATTAAAATTAAATAATATAATTTAATATCAGATATGATTGTTATTCGTTTGAGCTGATAAAACATATTTAACAAAATTAATTGTTCTATTCCCAATTTAAATAATCGCACGCAAAGCTTTTAAACCATGTTTAGCATAATATTTCTAAGCTAGTGATGCCATTTATATGAAATTTAAAAAATTTTAGTATTCAGTATATACAGTATGTATAGTACTGTTACATTATTTTTTAAAAATGTGTTATTTTGTGCCTATTCAAAATGAATTGTTCTAAAAAACTCATAATCGAACAATTCTAAAATTGGATGAGTACAGATATAATTAAAAATTAAATAAACATTATTTCCCGATATATTTAATATTTCAGTCTAAAGAAAATAGTTTTATATTGATAATTTTTATTAAAATATTTCAAATTAACATTATTTATTTTAACTACAATTTCGATACCAATAGCAAATACAAAAAATGCAAAATATAGAACTCAAATAAAAGACCAATAAATATTATGTTGATAGCAAACATAAATATGTAAAGCATGAATTTAAAACTACAAAATTTATAAAGATTAAAAGGGTTCTTGATTAATAATATTTAAATAGAGATGTAAACTGCTACTAATTTTTATTTTGTTCCAATAGTTGATTTTCAATTTCTAATTTTTTCAATTGTTGATTTTCAATTTCTAATCTTTTAATTTTACTTTGCAAATTTAAAATATTCTTCACTAGTTTATATTTAGCATAATTATTGGCTATAAGTTGTATTTGTAATATATATTGTGACGACAGATATTGTGATACTGAAGATCGTGACCGATCATGTGAAAAATGCATGAAATGCAATAAATGCAATAAGTGCAATAAATGTAATAAGTGTAATAAGTGACATTTAAAATCAGAAAAGGTATTTCGGGTAGATAAGGAATAAAGGGAGGAAATAATGAATATTAAATAAATACTTGTAAATAGCTTAATTAGTTTTAAGGGATAAGTTACATTTGTGAGCGATAAATTTAGTATTATAAATAAAGGCCGAAATAGCCCTAAGAGATGATATGTCTTGTTTGCTTGATCAATAAACAAGTTTCAATACATTGTATCGTTCATAATAAAAACCCTAACACTATACCTGGCATAAATCCTGTAAACATCGTTGTTCAACTCTTGTACATGTGACTTACTCTACTTGTATTTGTTGATCCAAAATAACCGAAAGCCTTTCTCGCCCATAAGCCAAATCTAACACCCTCTTTCGAAAAGGTTACTTGTCGTACGTTATATGAGGTTTAGAATTTTGGAGTGACAGAGTCGCAAAGTTTCGAACCCAACATTTTGGTGGTGACTGTGAAATCATACAACTTTCCTGCAACGAATCGTTTAAGCAGCTGGGCTGCAAAATTGGAAGACCCGAAACCCAAGAGAAAGGGAAGAGACTCCAGCTTTATTTGACATACTGTAATCCCAGCTGTGGTAAAAGAGAAGAATTGGTATAATTATGGTTAGTACTGATGAAGTATGGAAAACCGAATCTAAAAGAAAAAGAGAAAACTTACCCAAGAAGAAGAGTGCCAACCCTGATTCAACATATAGCAATCCTGAGTTGAGGCAGCAAGAAAGACAAGAGTTAGTGAGAATAGGTTTAAGGAAAGACTCAAAGAGGAGGTCAGTACTTACCTATGATAAAGAGCTCTTGGGATTCTAAAAAAATGTATAGACCAACCATCGCCAATTGAAATTATCAGCAAAACGGGACCCAAATGAAAGTACCTAGATGACAGCAAGCCCCAAGAAATGAACTGATTCAAAGATGCCGTTGAAGAGAAGTCATGTGCACCTATTGCAAAAAAAAGAAACACGATATTAGTAGCTGTCCAAAGATAAGAAAGTTGTAGCTGAAATGTCTGGAGTTGATAGACGTACTTACCAAAGAGCAAACAGCGAAAGTTCTGGAAATGATGGATAAACCCATAAAAAATCATAGCTTTTCTGACCCGCAAGACTGGAATGCTTTTTAGAAATATTAAAAGATGTTAGCTGGAATAACAACCCTAATGATGATGATGAAAAAGTTAATATTAAGTACCTACCCTTATATATCCAACCGGCCCCACTTGTAGGAAAAGAAGATACATCTCTCATGCCTTCAGAAGTTCCAAGTCAAAAAGTTTTCTCAAAACGATCCTGTTATCAGAAAGACCCGATTAAAGAAGTAATCGACCTCTATTTGGCTCTGGAAGCAAAGGATAGTAACCCTAATGCTAAAGTCCCCCTAGAAAGCTTGATCTATAGATACTTGGAAAAACTCAAGCTTGAAGAACTAGAATCCATCAACTGTGAGCACCATTATTGAAATGTAACTGGCATTAAAAAGGAAGAAAATAATGAACTAGAAGTTCAAAAAGCCACTGATATGGAAAATGTTGAAGAGACCTTTGATGATGGCTATTGCTATAGAAATGGAATTGCAGTCGAAAAAGATGAACATAGGACCTTGGGATATTCCCAGAAACCTGCTAATATGGGTAATGCTAAAGAGATACGCATAGTTGGTTATGGTTATCAAAATGGTATTGGAGTTCAAAATGATGATCGTAAGGCGTTTGAAGATTACACTGAATCTGCCAAATCAAATAATGTTCGTGGAGTATCTTCTGTTGGCAATTGTTATGAAAAAGGATTTGATGTTGAGAAAGATGAACAGCCAACCTTGGAATGGTGCCCAAAATCAGCTGAAGATAGACGACGAATTCCGTTGGAAAACTTGGATCAAGCCTGTGAAGATTGGAACAGAAGGGTGAATAAGTTTAGAAGGTTGATCCAAGACAACACAAAAATGATGAAAGACCCTTACCTAGTCAAGCCTAACAACTGTTATGAGAATAGATGATATTTAGAACAAGTGGAAGATAGTAATATGACTGGACAATTTGATCCCGTTGGAGAAATTTCAGATGAAAAAGAGGATAAATTGAGCCAAGTCAGATTCACACTACCACAAGGCTTGATACTTGATGCTGCTTCCAATAAAATCGAAGAACAGTTCAGGGAAAAAGGTGAAGAACATAAGAAGGGCCTTGAAACATATACGTTGTGGAAGGTCTTGAGTCAGAAATCTTGGCCTACTGAAAAAAAGAAGGTAAAATTAGCAAAGTGGAATGAAGGCCAACCTATTGAGAAGAATCGAATTGAGCAAATAAATAGTGGCGAAAAATGAAATTCTTCAATACTTATCAGCAGGAGACCCACATAATCGAATATATGACCCTGGAGGAGAACATTGTAATTGACCCCTTGTCTTTGTTCTTGGTTGAATACGACAGTTGTATGCATGAGCTGGGGCATATGACAAGGGTTGGACCCTTCATCTTGGACGTGGACATTTGTCTTGAATATAGTGTTAGGATAATTAGTAAAAAAAAAAATTTTATATAAAAATGGGTATTACATTAAATGTGATCATAGATGACATTACAATTTCATTCTTAATTGATGTCAATCCAGTACCCTGCCCTTTTGACTACACATGATCATTATAGAAGATCATGTGTGGTATGCATAACCTAAGCAGGAGAGAAATATGATGACGGATATTGTGATACTGAAGATCGTGACTGATCACATGAAAAATGCACAAAATGCAATAAATGCAATAAGTGCAATAAATGTAATAAGTGTAATAAGTGACATTTAAGATCGGAAAAGGTATTTCAGGTAGATAAGGAATAAAGAGAGAAAATAACGGATATTAAATTAATATTTGTAAATAGTTTAATTAGTTTTAAGGGATAAGTCACATTTGTGAGCGACAAATTTAGTATTATAAATAAAGACCGAAATGGACATAAGTGATGATATGTCTCGTTTGCTTGATCAATAAACAAGTCCCAATACATTATATCATTCATAATAAAAATCCTAACACTATATCCGGCATAAATCCTGTAAATATCGCTGTTCAACTCTTGTACACGTAACTTATCCTACTTGTATTCATTGACCCAAAGTAACTGAAAGCCTTTCTCACCCACAAGCCAAATCTAACACTCTCTTTCGAAAAGTTTACTTGTCATACATTATACGAGGTTTAGAATTTTGGAGTGACAGAGTCGCAAACTTTCGAAACCAACAATATATATATGATAAAAATATCAAATAACCTTACAAAAAAGTATTACAATTTTTACTATACAATTCAAGTCATTGAGTTCATTTGTCAATCTTTGATCTTCTAACTTTGAAGACATTTTAATTTTGTTACTTTATTCAAATTTTTAAACAGAGATTATCCAAATTATTTATGTGGCACATGATAGTGAATAATATAGTGATTTCCGAACAAAATATATCCAATAAAAACTTATTTTAAAAATTGCTCTAACTGCTAAGTCACAGAACCGTGCATCATTTTTGCTTCATTCTATCATCTTAAAATAAATCTTAAATAAATAATGTTCTCATAACCTTTACATAATTATAAATAAATTATGTGATTGCAGTACAAGGTATTATGCATATTCGAATTAAATTTATTTTAAATACTGTACTATATATAAATATAAACTCAAATACATATCGATATTATAATTTTTTCATCTATTGAAAACTGGTTAAATACAAGTTTACTGCACTATAAATAGACAATAGTAGTATATATGATATTAAATGTGTATATATTTCAAAAAAAATTTATTTTTCAAAATAGATTGTTTTAATATCACATGTTAAACTAGGTAAAACCAGACTTAGAACTCTATTATTGAAAAGAATCCAAACATGAAATTCTCTTGAAAGAAATTTTAACCTTTAAACTATTTTCTTTACAAAAAATGAGTTACATCAAACACTTATCGAATGAAACCCTTATAAAAATATTTGAATTTCTAAAAAAAGAAAAGGTTCTTATTTTCATGCCTTCTTATAAACCGTAAATGGTGTAGACTTATTGTTCTAATATTATAGAGATCTTTACATTTTAATAATAAATGTATTATCGAAATATGTCTTTTAAATCTGAATGCTGATGAACTAGCACTGTTAGTTCTGTTTAAAATTAACTTTCTAGCAAATTCTTGAATGCCACTATTTAAATATACAAATTTTATTATATCTGTTAACAGTCAGTATTTGAGCTGAAGAGTGTCACATTTTCTTGAAGAATTTAGGGACGATTTTTATCCTATAGCAGCTGTTAAACGTTCTTTACTTTTATTGTTTTTATGAAAAAAAAATTATAAATTTAAACCTTTCAAATATTAACCTTGGTTTTCTTAAAGAAGAAATTACAAATACTCTTATCAAGAACAACAGTCTAATTCATTTGAATCTTTCAAATAACCAGCTTGGCTCTGATGTAGGAAAAGCTTTAGCTTATATGCTCTGTATAAATACTAAGTTATCTACTTTAGATCTTTATCTTGACCAATTTGGTTCTAAAGGCATGAAAGCATTAGCAGATGCTCTTCTTAAAAATAACATTTTAATATCTTTAAATATTTCAAGGAATGATCTTGATGCTTTGGATGAAATCACATTAGCAAATGCTCTTTGCAAAAATAATATGTTAATTACTTTAATTCTTTCCAGTAATAAACTTGGATCCAATATTGGAAAACTACTAGCAAATACTCTTTGCAACAATAATGCTTTAACTTCTTTATATCTTACAAATATTAATCTTGGTTCTGGAGTGAAAGTAATAGTGAATGCTCTTATCAAAAATAATACTTTAACTTATTTGGAACTTTCATCTAATAAGCTTGACTCTGATGTAGGAATAGAGCTGGCAAATGCTCTTTGCAAAAATAATATGTTAACTACTTTAGATATTTACTTAAATCAAATTGGGTTTGAAGGTGGTAAAGCATTAGCAACTGCTATTTGCAAAAATAGTGCTTTGACTCATTAGATCTTTCATATAATTAACTTGAAGATGAAGTAGGAAAAGAATTAGCAGATGCACTTCAAGTGAACACAACTCTAAATGTTTTGAGAATTGGTGGCAATGAAATTAATTTTGAAATAGAGAAAAAGTTAGAAATAATAAAAAGTAGCAGTTTAGATCTAGATTTTGATTCCAAAAATAATAGCATCATAACTGTTTGTTGATTATAGTTGGGTGGAGTTTTTTTTTTTTATGAATGGTTTTACAATTTTTGATTTTATTTTCAAATTTTTGTCGAATATGAAATTTTGTTTTGTTAGTTAATAATAAAAGTTCGTGACTTAGTCACATTAATCAAATTCTGTTGGAATGGATTGAAGTTGTTAAATTTTGCAATTGATGAGATATCCAATATTCAGATTTAGTATTTGATAGATAATTATGTGATTTTCGTGCATATCAGTTACTTTTTTGATAGGCCATGTTCTTGATGTATAATTCCAAAATTGATCAAATATATCTTGATAGTATTAATCTGAGTTGAGATTATAGTTGTTAGACAAAACTATGTGATGCTAAATTTAAAACTAGATTAAATTTTTAAGCCTTGATATTTTATAACAGGTGATGATTATCATCACATAGTTTCATCTAACAACTATAGTTGAGATATATCGCTTGGATAAGAATGGGTGGGTCAACCTGCAGATCATCAACCTATGAGAGAAATAAAGGCTTCTATAGGAGTTTCAGATTGTAGACAGTCAGCGAACGAAAATACAAGCAAGGTGAGTTTCTAAAATGAATTTTTTTTTAACATCTGTTTTCATAAATTCTGGAACAACTGAAAAAATTGCCAATAACAGAATTTGAGTTTGGCCAAAGTTGGATATATGTTGATTCCTACTTGGTAGCTTATCGACTCAATTGTCTGCAATTTTTTCAGTTGTTTCAAAACAGCTCATACACCACCAAGATAGGTGACATTTTTTTACTCAGATGACTTATGCCCACCTGAAAGTTCAAAATCACTAAGTGATTTTTGGAAGATAAAAATTTTCTGGGTCACTCAAGTAAATAGCTGATCTAATTTTTACTCAGGTAATACATGCCTACTGACAGGGACCCGAGTAGTGATTTTTTAGATGGGTCAAATCACTATCACTATGTATAAGCCTATAATATGATTTTCAACTTCAGCAGTACTACTAATTTTCCATGTCTTTATAATACTTTTTGTATTAACAGAGCTAAAAATGATAAATTTATTATTTATTTTCAGAAAAAAAATTTAAAGTGATTGAATTTATTAGTTCAACTATTATCAATTTTTCTAATAATGATATTAATAATAAATTACAAAAGACAAAATGAAAGAACAAATAAAAAGTATGTTCTATAATGATGAAATTATCAAGAGTTCCCAACTGAGCAAAATAATAAATATCATTACCAACACCAAATAAAACTATAAAGAATAAAAATAATTAATATGTTATTTGATTCAAAAATTTTAAATATAATGAAAAATTAAATATATACTGATTAAACAAAACCATTCCATGTATTTCAATTCAGAATACTGAGCAAAGTTAACAAATTTTAAAAATAAATAAAAGAAGAAAAAAATGCATATAAATTCAAAAAGTGTATATCTCAAAATTTTAAGTAAAGATCCTAATTGTGCAAAATGATGAATACTTGAGTCAAAAAACTTAATAAGTGTTATACATATATCCAATAACTAAATCAAAACAAGGTAATTCAAATCAGAATACTAATCAATATTAATGTTATTTAACCAAAAAAAGCTGCTGTAATTAACAAATGAATACCACTTTCACATTGAAATCACAATTCTTGAAATTAATACAACATATTTTATTACCCTTTTGTTGGATAATAAAGTTAACAATGTGCCAGGACCAAACATAAAGAAATTAATTCTGTAGACATTTGCCATGTCTTCATGGCTGTAAAATGTAAAAAAAAACATTAACTATATGAAGCAGATCAAAAATATTAGAAGAAATAGAATTTACAGTAATAAAAGTCTAATTTATAATCCAAAGCTTCCAGATACCTAAATACAAAAAAATGCAAATTTAGCTAAAAAAAAAAAAATTAAAAAAGACAGTATTAAAATTAAAATTAAACATACACTAAAAATAACATCTAAGAAAAAAAAATAATGTTGCAAAAACTTGAGTAGACTATGAGAAAATGGTTTTGTATAGCTTTTTCTTGATTTGAAAATCATGTACTCATATTTCTACAAGTTAGAAGTTAAACCTGATTAAGTTTCTAATTGTTTTATATGTACTCAGTAAGAATTATTTTATTATATATATATAAAACTGAGAAAAAATGAGTAAACTAAAATATATTAAAAATCATATATATTTTAGAACTGTAAGTTTTAATTTTATAAACTATACTATTGCAGATCCTATATATTTTAAAATTTGTTTTTTAAAGAAGTTAACTACTACTTTTATCTTGTTATAAATATATCTATATGTAGAGCTTTTAATTATTTGTATGCTAATTATCTATTATACTGCTTATATATTGAAAAAAATATTATATAACAGACTATATAGTCAGATTAATTCATTGTTTATATGCCTTTTTACTTATATATTTCCAAATTAAATATTAATATAAAAATAGTATATTGTAGATCTTTTAACAGTATTATATATTTTTAATTTTGTTTAAATGAGAAATTATTGAACTGAAATATGATAAATTGACTCATTTATTCTCTCTTATTCTTTTTATCTATGGCAAGACAGATTATTCTTTAAATATATAGAAAATAATTTTTTCAGAAATTGCATGTAAAAACAATAGCTTATGTCACTATTCTTTAGGCATGATCATATTATAAAAGCCAAAGTAAGAACGTAACTCTTTTCCTACATTACATAGTTAGTAAGAACACACTTCAATTGTCTTTTTTCAAATTCTTAAAGAGAATACATTAGTCTTCCTAATGACTGAAAAGCAAGTTCTTGAGAGTACCAGGTATAATACATTTATTGAATTTTCAAAGCATCAAATATTTGTTAAAATTCATTTTGAATACTTTTCAGATATAATGAAGCAGCTTTGGACAATCTAAATCGATGATTAGTCATTTTTCAAGATAATCTGAACTTGTTGAAATTTTGTGCTAAAGAATACCATAAACTCAGCAAACATAATAAGCTTTGGATGATCTAAATAAATTGTTAGGCATTTATCCAAATAACCTGTACTTGTTAAAATTTCATGCCAAAGAATACCATAAACTTGGCAAGCATAATAAAGCTCTAACAATCTAAATAAATTGTTAGCCATTTATCCGAATAACCCATATTTGTTGAAATTTTATGCTAAAATATACTATAAACTTGGCAAGCATGAAGAAGCTCTGTACGATCTAAATCAATTTTTAGGCATTTATCTAAATAATAATGTTGTGTTATAATTTCAAAGAGAAGTAATGATTAACTTTTTGACTGAACTATTGAAAATGAACCCAAATAATGAAGAAGAGATATTGTATATTCGAGCTCAAGCATATATTAAAATTGAGAAATATGATGAAGCTTTAGTCGATCTGAATAGATTATTAGAAATTAATCACAAAAATGAAGAGATATTGAGTATTTGAGCTCAAGCATATACTGCAATTGGTGATTATAAAAAAGCTTTCATCAATCTAAATAGTTTATTTGAAATTAATTCCAGTAATAAGAAGGCATTAGAATGTTGCTTTCTTCTGGATGAAGAAAGTTCATATTATAAATTTATAAATTTTTTTAATGCTTAACAAACTATTTAGTTTGTAGTTCGTAACCTTGTGTTTTCATTTAAAAATTTACTTAACAGGTATTTTTGATTATACATATTGGCAAAATTCCAAATTGAATTTGTTCAAATTAATTTATCAAAAACTTTATTAATAATATTGGTTAAACAAATAGTAAATATTTTTATTGTTATAGATAATATATTTGCAAAATATTAAAATAACTTTATTTATTTAATCTTTTACAAATTGCAATTGTTTTTTTTTTGAATTTTGAAGTATAACTTTGATATTTTCGATTGTAAACGAGTTTATAGTATTACGTGATTTGAAGGTCCCTCGAGTCTGTAAAGTAACATTTAATTCTTGAAATTTCAAACTCATTCATTATGATTTTTAACTATCTAATTATTAGAGACTATCTTTATTCTTTATCTTTTAAAAAACTAAGTAATTCAATCTTATTATTCTTATTAGAGATACTGCACTATTTAGTTTACAAAATTTGAGAAATATTTAATTGAATTATAAAACAATA